GCCAACAGTCCTTGCACTTCCCTGTACGGTCACAGCATTATAGACTACATAAAAACATTCTAAAGGACTTAACAAAATAACTCCCAGGTTTGCGGAGGGAAAATATTGTTATACACTGAAAAAAGCTTTTAGGTCTAATTTCTTGTAGATATCAGTGCTTCAATGTGGAGATAAAAGAAAGTGTTGTGTTTATAAAAAAAGAAAAACATGTAAAGTAAACATTTTTGAATAACTGCAGTCTATTTTGTGGGGGTTCACCCGAGCACCGCCGTGCTCACTAACTGAATATTCTAAAGACACTGAAGGAGACGAAGTTTAGTAGAAAACTTCATATACATATTTGTTTGTCGTTTTTATTTCAATAAAAGCTAATAACGATTGTTTCAGTGTTTTATTGCTGTCAATATAGACCTAACTGCTCTTTCACTGAGTAGATCCTCAGACTCGCCTCTTCGGCATATAAGTTCGAAAAAAATTGACTTCCTAATCTATGGCTTTTTTAAAGTGTTATCGGGAGAACTACTGTGATAGCCCGTAAATTCACGACTGGCGTAGCGTCATTTTAAGAAATGCGAAGTCAAATACTATTTGACATTAAACATAATTTAATGTCTGTTTCTTACCGATGTACTTTTCTTAAATGTCTAGGTTTGGAAGTGATATTCTCGAGAGACATTTGGTTTGTTCTTGCTGCAAAATTTATCCTAAAATAATGATATTTCGATCTATTGTTAGCTACTCTACATTACTGTAATAAGGTCAATTATATTTTATGCTCTCAAATTTTTTCTGTGTTTTCTATAGTTTCATTTTTTGAAGGTAGTATCAAAAGTCAAGTATAAGTTCCCAAAGAATTAAAATACACTAAATTAAAAATAAAATGACAGTTAGAAAATATGCTGTTGAAAATTGACCTTGAAATGTTAAAACAATTCACAGATTTTCTGAAGACCTTTATTTAATTTAAAGGCAGAACACTACTCAAAAAATAAAATTTTTAAACCTTTTGCTGATAGTAATTCTAAATATTTCGTTATCATAATAAGCAATATTAACTTTAAAGCAAAAACTGAAAGTTAAAACAGATGAAATAGGCGAGCGAGTAAAAAAAATATTGAAAGGAACATAATGAAGACCAATGAAGAGTATTCGTTTTGTTGCCCCCTTACGTACGAAAAGCCGACAGCGGCCGTTGTCTGGGGCAGTCGGGGCCTCCAGAAGCCCGTAAGCCCGCGCGACCTGAATTCGTTACAGCTGCTTCATCGTTACGCCCGCGCGTCGCTTGTTTGTCCAGCTCTTGGGCAGGGGCTGTCTCTTTACGCGAGCTTACGTGGCGAGTCTGAGGTGCTGCGTGTATAAAACATTTTCTCCGTCGAGAAGAGCGGCTGCAGCGGCCCTGCCCCCGCCCCGAGCTGTGCCGCGCGGCGCGGACGCCCCGCCCAAACTCAGCCTCCAAGACGCAAGTGGACTGGCTGCCCGGCGATGGCATCCGCCCTTTTGCGGGAGCAGCAGGTAACAAGGAACATTCCACGGCCACCATGGGAAAGAATGACAGGATTGGTTAGAGGTAAAGAATTTATTTGTGGTTCCATGAACGTTTGGTAATAGGTGTTTTTTTCATAAAAGTAAAAATACTGATACTCGGTTCACGAACAGCTGTGTTAGCTAAAAATGCATGAGTTACATTCCCTTTGTATTTTATCGTATTTATAATGCATTTTAGAATTCATCTACAAATTTATGGTCGGCTTGTCTCCATTTACATTAATATTTGCCGTCAAATATTTTATCTCCAGTCGCTGATTTCATATACTCAAGTTTAATTAATAAGAATATACTTCTCAAACATCAGACGTAATGTAAAATACGTCAACATAAAGTAACAACAATTACTTTTCAGTATATTCTGAAATTGATGTACAATTACAAATTTCATTAATTGGAATTATCCTGTGCTCAGGAGTATATGCTTGATAAAAAACATTTCTGAGAAAGATTACTATTTTATTATCGTTGAAGAAGACTAAC